GAAGTCAGGTTGTAGTCCAACAGGTTTATTTGAAATCACAAGTTTTGAGAGTGTTGCTCCTTCATCAGGTGAAGTGACTGATGAAGGAGAAGCAGTCTGAAAGCTTGTGATTTCAAATAAACCTGTTGGACAATGACCTTGCGTTGTGTGACTTCTGACTTTTACCAATTATTGGCAGTGCTATATTCATTGCTGAACAGCTATGTTTTTTTACAATAAACACAAGGATGGTCAACGACCATGTACATCAATCATAGAATGAGAATGTACATGGGGCTTTCTAAAGGGACCCATAGTTAACCTGTTATTTGCCAAATGCTTAGTAAAAGTAATCAATAAACATGAATTCATACCCACCAACATAATATATCCAAGCAATATTCTAATGATACAAATCAACCCATTTTAGCAATTGGTATCACTTATTTTTGTTCAGTACTTGGCATATAAGCATAGACTCTGAGGCACTATACAAGCAGTTGTGGAAGAACTGGCTACTGAACTGACTGTGGAAATTCTGGAAGTATTATCTTAGGAGGCTTTTAAATAGGACAATAAGATGGCTTTGCACCATAGGGTTCTGAATGAGATGATACTTGTGAAGGATGGAAATGGAGAATTTGGCAAGTTAAACAGTGCAGTGTTGACACATGAGATGACAAAAAAAATGGATAAGGTTTTCCAACAGTACTCAATGACAGCACAAACAGGCAATGATCCAAGATTTGTAAAAACGGGATCATGGATAATGCAATCTCAATTAGTCTTAGTGTTTTACTTAGTATACATGGTGGATATTGACCTGATTTTGCTATCAGTTTTTGTATGAAGAAGCACATAATAAGAATGGATAATTCTTAAAAACATATTATCAGATTTTTCTAACTAAAAAACTCAAAAAACGACCATATCTTCATTTAACCAACTGCAAAGTATCTATAAAAAACCCATCCTTTTTATTGGCCTCCAGGATCATTTCAAATGATAAGAATGAAGGATTTAGATTTCTTAAATTAAAAAGAAATCCTACCCTGGCAGCTGTTGGAATATATATTCAATTAATAAATCTGAAATTAAAAGCTAATATCAGTTTTGGTGACCATAAAATCATTATCGATTATCATAAAAACCCATCGAGTCCACTAATGTCCTTTAGGGAAGGAATCCTGAAATCATTACCTGGTCTGTTCTACGTGTTACTACAGAACCGTAGCAACATGGTTGAGTGTTAAATCCCCTCTGAAATGACATTGCGAGTCATTTACTTGTATTTAATCATTACAAATCCAAAAAGCAATGAATCTGTATGGAGCACAAAGAATCAGCTTGGCACTGGAAATGGCAATGGCAAATCAAGCCTTGTCAACCCTGCAAAGTTCTGCTTACCAGCATTTGGAGGATAGTTCTGAAATTGACTGGGCTTTCTCTTCACCAAGTAACAGCCTGATCTTGTCATGCTCACCGAATCGTACCTTAGAAACAATATTCCAATCACCATCATCACCTTCCCTGAATATGTCCTGTCTCACTGAAAGGAGGTTGACTCAGGAGTGCTCAACATTGTCTCCAGACCTTATTGTGGCAGGTCAACATGAGCAAACATCCTGCCTATTACCACCCTCTGCACACCTCAATCATCACATCGCCAATTAATCAGTACTCCTCCATATTGAACACAACTGGCAGAAGCACAGAGAGTAGCAAAGGTACAAAATGTACTCTGTTGACCATTTTAATATACATCATCAAGCATGGCTCTGTAGACATATTACTGACTGAACTAGCTCAATCGTACAGGAACGCAATATCCCCATCATCAGACATGGAGGACCCAGCACACTAATACAACAGACTAGGCTGAAGTATTGGCAGCCATCTTCAGCCAGAAGTGCTGAGTAGCTAATTCATCCTGTCACTCCTTCTCAGGCCCCCAGCATCACAGCTGTCTGTCTTCAACCAGTTTGATTCAAACCAGGTGATATCAAGAAATGGCAACGCACTGGATACAATAAAGGCTATGGGCCCTGACAACATACTGGCAACAGCCCTGAAGACTTGTGCCCCAGAACTAACTGTGCCCGTAGTCAAGCTGTTTCACTAAAGGACCTTCTATGTGAATGTGGAAAATTGCCCAGCTTTGTTCTGTACACAAAAGGCAGGCCAAATCCAACTCAGTCAAAGACCACCCAATCAGTTTACTCTCGATTATCGGTAAAATGATTTTTAAAGTTATTGAGAAATGTGCTATCAAGCAGCACTCACTTAGCAAAAACCTGCTCGCTGACAGTTAGTTTGAATTCTGACAAAATACACTCAGCTGCTTATCTTATTACCATCTTGGTACAAACGTGGAGAAAAGAGCTGAACACAAGAAGTGTGATGAGAGTAACTGCCCTTGATACTAAGGCAGCATTTGACTGAATGTGACGTCAAGAAGCCCCAGCAAAACTGGGGTCAATGGAATCAGGGGAAACATGTCATTGGTTGTAATCACACCTATCACTAAGAAAGATGTTTGTGATGTTGGATGTCAGTCATCTAGCTCCAGGACATCACCACAGGAATCCCTCAGGTGAGTATCCTAGGCCTTAATGTTCATCAATGTCCTTCCCTCCATCAGGTCAGAAATGGGATGTTCACTGATGTTTGAAAATTATTTGGGATTATTCATGATCAACTGATGCTGAAACAGTCCTTGCCTTATGCAGCAAGACCTTGACAACATTCAGGCTTGAGCTGGCAAGTGGCAACTAACGTTTATGCCAAAAAATGCTGGCAATGACCTTCCTCAAAAGAGGAAAGAATAAAATTATCTCCCCTCTCAGCATTCAATGGTATTGGCATTGCTGAATCCTGCATTATCAATATTCCAAAGGTTGCCATTAATCTGAAACTGAACTGGTTCAAATATATAAACACTGTGGCTACAGCAGCAAGGTAGAGGCTGGGAGTCCCATTGTGAGTAACTCACCTCCAGTCTCTGCAATTCATGTCCACCAACTGCAAGGCACAAGTCAGGAGTATGGTGGAATACTCCACTTGCCTGAATGAGTACAGCTCCAATATCACACAAGGAGTTCAACACCATTCAGCTCAAAGCAGCCCACTTGGTTGGCACACCATCCTTCACTGACCAATGGTAGCTGCAGTGTATAGCGTCTACAAGATCCACTGAGGCAACTGCATGAAGGTCCTTTGAGGGCACCGGCCAAACTTATGATCTACCATCTGGACAGACCAGGGTAGCATATGTATGGAAGCATCACCTGTAGTTTCACCTCCAAGCCCCACATTATAATGACTCACCGTTGCTTCACTGTCACTGGGCCAACATTGTGAAACTCATTCCCTACCAGCCCTATTAGTGCACCTGCAGCCCAAGGACTGCAACAGTTCAAGAAGGTAGTTCATCACCGTCAGTGTCATCTTTGTCCCGTGAATGAATAAAAGAAATCTACATGATCTTAATCAATCAGTTAGCAACTGAGATGAGATCAGACACCAAGAGCTTTGGAAACTCCTCAGATGGCTCTAACAAGATCAAAATTGCTTCACGTAAAAACAAAATTCAAATCTGGTATTAATTTCTCACTCTATATAGTTTCCTATAACCCAAACTCTAAATTAGCTTCATACAGTCTCCAATCTGACTTTCTTGATTGACCTGGTCCTAGTTTTATGCTGACAATTAATACGTATGTTCAATGTACCTTATTTTCAGAAATATTTCATTAACAAAAGGGAGGAATAGAATTCATTTTGTACTGTTGAAATAGTTGTTATTCGTGTTGTTAACATCCTTGGCTGCCTTCTAGTTCTAACTGGAACTATACTGCCTAATTTTTGAGGGACTGTTCATCTGCTTCTTTGCTGTCAATCTTCATCTGAGAGCTACTGTATGTTTCTCAGGACTAGGGTTACACCTCAACAAACATTGGTTGTGAACCAAACATTGCTGGTCATTCTAAGAACCAGTTCCAAATCAGTTCCTAGAACAAAGATTTTCTTTGCACTACCAGAGTTTATTTCCCGTAACTGAGACTTCAAATTCAAATCTTCATGCAGTTGTTAATTTTAACTCTGTGACATATGCTGATGTTGAGATTACGACATCTAAGCCAGAGTATTACAATTATTGCAAAATAAGCATCAGTGTCACAGCTTAATAAAACTTGGAAGACCTACCACTCCACAGTGTAATATATACATCAATCCAAACATCTTTCATCACTTATCATGAGGGATTAAAAGAATTGGAACTTTTACAACAAATTTTACAATGCTTAATCAGAACTTCTCCATGAGCTTATGAAAAGTTCAATACGACAAGAAGTTAGCTGGCTTTAATTTCATGCTCTTTTGTAGGTATTCTGCCACTAAATTGGAACAACATCACTAGCTTTCAGATGCAAAATCCTTATTAGATTCTTGTGCAGTTACAACTTTTCTCCAGAAAATGATTAGTTCAGAATAAATGTGTGCAACAGAGTATTAAGTGGATGCAGTCCAAAATGTTACAGGGAAAGGAAAAGAACATACATTTACAAAGGGCTTCAATAATTACACAACTATTAAAATTTAAACAATCAATTTAATTAATTATAAATTGAAAATAATCTGACAATTTTAACCAATTTAATCACATACCAAAAATTACAAAAATAAAACAAAAATGCCTTGTTCATGGCAAAAGTAGAATAGTGTTTTCATTATCTAACTGAATGTAATTAAAAATATACGCATTTAATTCAATTGTTTATTAAACACTTACTCTTAAGCTCTGGCTATGGTTCCTACTGTTGCAAATCTTATTAAGCCAAAGTGTCATTACCCAAATGTAATTTTTGATCTAAAGAAATCAAATGCTTAAAGTATCTTAAGATAAAATATGAAAACTTCTCATTATGTCAATGTTCTATCCTTTGTGTTCCACTTTCTGCTGTTTGTGGCTATATGCTGTATGCTGCCATCACATATGTGCTTAAAGGTTGTTAACATACCTGAGTTGCCGCAAATATTTGTGGCCTCCCTTGTCGCTTGAGTCTTCAGTGCATCTTGTTTATACACAAGATGTGGTTTATTGTGCTCTTCATCATACTCTTCCCCATTGGGCAGAACAAGAGGTTCAACAAAATACTCTCCATCATTAGACCTGAAGGTGCCAAGCTGTGAAAGAACATTGAAAAATATTTATTAAACCAACTGCAGCTATCCCCCATTTAGCATTCCTAGCATGTTCCTAAAAAGCTGCGTGATAAGTGAAAACATGCTCAACGAAAATTGTGTTGTCTGAATAAAGTACATAATAAGGGTGGTTATGTTCCTGATTTGTAACTTTTGCATTAAAAATCAATTTATTGCATTGAATTTATCTGGTGAAACATCCAGTTCATTAAGTTTGTTACTATTGACTACCTACTTACTATTCTCTCTACATACCTCCTGCTCACAACATCCCACCTTCTGCTCAAATACTGATTTTGTTTCAAACAAAACACAGAAGTTCCAAAGAAGTGTCATACTGGACAAGAAATATTAACTCTGTTTCTCTTTCCACAGAAGGTGCCTTTCTTTTCTCCCCCACACTGAAATATATAACTTCACATTTATCTTCATTTTACAACATTTGCCATGTGTTTCCACCAAGACTCAACTTGTCTACATTGCTCTGAAGTCTGCCTGCATCCTCCTCAGGACTTTCAATCCTACCTTGTTTTGTGTCATCAACAAACTTGGTAATATTGCATTTAGTTCCCTCATTAAAGTCATTTATCTAAATCATGAATAGCTGGGGCCCAAGCAATGATTCCTATGGTTTGCCACTACCTGCCACGCAGAAGGAAGACACATTTATCCCACCCTGTTTCCAGTCTGTCAAGTAATTCTTGATCCGTAACCCCATTCCCATGTGCTTTAATTTTGTCCACTAGGCTCTTATTTGTGCACTTATCAAAAGCCTTCTGGAAATCCAATATATACTTCCACTGGTTCTCCCTTATCTACTCCATTAGTTACATCTTCAAAATTACTCTCGCAGGTAAGCATGATATGCCTTTCATTAACCCATGGGAAATTTGTCTAATTCCGTTAATGCTTTCAAAGCGTTGTGTTATCATGTCTTTTACAATATCCTTTTGCATTTTTCACACTGCTGATATTACGCCAACCAGTCTGTAATTCTCTGCTTTCTTTCCCTTTTTAACTACTGGGTTACATTAGCTACCCTCTAATCTGTGGAAACTGCTCCAGAGTCTACAGAATTTTGGAAGCTAATCACCATTGTTTCCAAAATGTCAAGGACTACTTCCTTTAATCTGCACTTCAGAGTGCTATAGGGCATTGGGGATTTGTCACCCTTTAACTCTATGAATTTCTCTAGCACTGTTTTTTAGTAACACCAATTTTCTTCAATTCACAATTTTCACTAGACCCTTGGTTGTCTAACATTGCTCGGAAATTACTTGAGTCCTCTTTTATGAAGACAGAACTAAAATGTGTTTTCAATTTTTCAGTCTTCTTTCGTTCCTTGTTATAATTTCCCCTATTTCTGACTGCAAGGAATTTATATTTGCCTCCGCTAATCATGTCATCACATATGTATAGAAACTTTTACAATCAGTTTTGATGTTCCCTGCAGGTTGACTCTCATATTCTATTTTCTCCCTCTTGATCAATCCTTTCCTCTGCTTTTGCTGAATTCTAAATTGTTCTCAGTTATCAGACTTGCTGTTGTTTTCTGGCATTCGAGATTTTTTTTAACTTCCCAATCAAATCTCTTAAACTTCTCTGCACAAAGAAGAACAACTCTAGCTTCTCCAGTTGCCTCACATAACTGACACTGTTTTAAGACTTTGTCATACTTTTTGAGTGTGGTGGCCAGAACTTAACACAATATTCCGACTGAGATTCTTCTCATTCTCCCTATCAAAATCAATCACTTTGTTGGGCCTCAGCCCTCCAACCCTGCTCCACTAATCAATATGATCATGGCTGATCATCCAACTCAGCACCATGTTCCTGCTTTCTCCCTATACCCTTTATCAATTTAGCCCCAAGAATTATATCTCTAACTCCTTCTTGAAAATATTCAATGTTTGGCCTCAACCACTTTTAGAATTTTCTAGGTTTCTATGAGATTCCCCATCATTCTTTTAAACTCCATTAACCTCTTCAGTCTCTCTTCACATGTCAGTCCTGCCATCCCAGGAATCAGTCTGGTAAACAGTAAGACCATGAGACACAGTAACAAAAGTAGGCCTTTCAACCCATCCAGCTTGCTGTGCCATTCAATGAGATCATGGCTGATCTGATAATCCTCAACTTCATTTCCCTGCCTTTTCATCAAAACCCTTGGTTCCCTCACTGATGAAAAATCTGTCTACCTCAGCTTTGAATATACTAATTGACCCAGCCAGAATAGTTCTCTGTGGTAAAGAATTCCACACATTCACAGGCCTGAGAGAAGAAATTCCTCCTGACCTCTGTCTTAAACCCTTATTTTGTGATTATGCCCTCTAGTTCTAGACTTTCCAACAAGGGTAAAGAAACTTTCCACATCTACTCTGTCAAGTCCTCTAAGAATATTATATCTTTTGCACTCTCTCCATAGCCAGAGCATTCTTTCTCAGATAAGGAGACAAAAACTGCACACAATATCTCAGGTGTGGTCTCACCAAGACCCTGTACAACTGCAGCTAGAAATCCCTTCTCCTTTACTCAAATCCTCTCACTACGAGGACCAAGATACCAGTTGTCTCCTTCACCAACTGCTCTACCTGCTGGTTTACTATCAGCGTCTGGTATACAAGGACACCCAGGTTTCATTGTACCTTCTCCTTTCACAATCTATCATTATCCAGATAATAATCTGCCAAACTATTTCTGCATGAAAAATGAATAATCTCATATTTATCCACACATACCTCATCTGCCCAACCATCTGACCACTCACTCAACTTGTCCAAAGCACAGAAGCATCTCTGTATTGTCGTCACAGCTCATCCTCCCACCAGACTGTGTGTCATCTCTGTATCATCCTCACAGCTCATCGTCCCACCAGGCAGTATGCCATCTGCAAACTTAGAGAGTTTACTTTTAGCTCCCTCATCTAAATAATTAATACATATTGTGAATAGCTGGAGACCAAGCAATGATCCCTGTGGTACCCCACTAGTCACTGACTGTCACTCAGAAAAAGACCCATTTATTCCTACCCTTTGTTTCCTTTATCCGTGTCAGTCCACTCCCACTATCCCATGCACTCTAATTTTATATGCTGATCTCTTATGTAGGACCTTATCAAAAGCCTTCTGAAAGCCCAAGTAAATCACATCCACTGGCTCCACTTTATCAACCTACTAGTTACATCCTTGAAAAGTTCCAACAGTTTCCCATAAATCCATACTGACTGTCTCCAAAAAAAAAGAAACAAAACAAATTGTTGAAACAGCAATTCCGTAGGCACTGTTCCCTCGAGGACACCTTGGTTCACTCCTCCTCCACTCCCAACATTGCCCCACACCCCCACAGCACATTCCCATGCAATCGCAGAAAGTCTAACATTTACTTCATCTGTCCTCACCATCCAAAACCCCAGTCATACCTTTCAGGTGAAGCAATGATTTACCTGCACTTCATTCAATCCAGTCTATTGTATTCACTGTTCACAGTGTGGTCTCCTATACAGTGGGAAGACAAAATGTAGACTGGGCAATCACTTTGCTGAGCACATATATGCTGTTTGCAAGGTGATGCCTAGCTTCCAGTTGACTGCCACCTCAACCCACCACCATGTTCCCTGGCCAACATCTCTGTCTCAGGCTTGCTGCAGTGCTTCAGCAAAGCTCAATGTAAGCTGGAAGAACAGATTCTCATTTTCAACTTGGGGATCTTGCAGCCTTCAGGGCTCACAATTGAGTTGAATAATTGTAGGGCCTGAGCACTTTCTCCCATGTCTTTACCCCAATCCCCACACACTAGGCTTTGCCATCATAAGGACTGCTACCACAAACTACCCATTGTCAGTTACTAATGGTCCCTATCATCAGCTGTTGATTCTCCCGGGCTGACCCTTACCCATTCCTTTGTCTGCCCAATCGGTCTTCTCTCTTTCTTGACTCCATCTCAACCTATTGTTTACTCGCCCCTCACTCCCTTCCATCTTCAGTATACACACCATTCTTTTCCTGGCTACCAACAGTTCTGAAGAAGGGTCACTGGACCCCAGAACTTTAATTCTGATTTGTCTCCACAGATGCTGCAGACCTGCTGAGCATTTCCAGCAATTTCTGACTCTCTGTAAACCCATTTTCCAAGTGCTCTGCCTACTACATTTCCCTGCTACCAATGTCAGGCTAACTTGTCTATAATTCCTGTTTCTCTCTACCTCCTTCTATTTTCCACACTTCTCTGCATTACATTACATCTGCTGTGGGTCTGCCCATTTCATGAGTTCTGCATCCTCCTGAGGCCTGTTACTATCCTGTTCATTGTTTATGATGTTTTCAAGTTTCGTATCATCTATAGATCTTGAAATGATACCCTTGTATACCCAAGTTGAGGTTATTAATTTTTTAAATTTTAATTTATAAAATACCTACAGTGTGGAAACAGACCCTTCAGCCCAACAAGTCCACACCGACCCTCAGAGCATCCTACCCAGACCCATCCTCCTATAACCCATCTAATCTACACATCCCTGAACACTACCGGCAATTTAGCATGGCCAATCCACCTAGCCTGCACATCTTTGGACTGTGGGAGGAAACCGGAGCACCCAGAGGATACCCACGCAGACACAGGGAGAGACTGAGTAGACTGGGATTATACTCATTGGGATTCAGAAGAATGAGGGGAGATCTTATAGAAACATATAAGATTATGAAGGGAATAGATAAGGTGGAGGCAGGGAGGTTGTTTCCGCTAGCAGGTGAAACTAGGACTAGAGGGCATCACCTCAAAATAAAGGGAAGCAGATGTAGGACTGAGGTCAGGAGGAACTTCACCCAAAGGGTTGTGAATCTGTGGAATTCCCTGCCCAGTGAAGCCGTTGAAGCTAAATCGCTGAATGTTTTTAAGGCAAGGCTAGATAAATTTTTGAACAGTAATGGAATTAAGAGTTATGGTGAGTGGGCGGGTAAGTGGAGCTGAGTCTCAGAAAGATCAGC